CTAGAAAAATAAAATTTATGTATGATAAATTTGTTATTTTCCCTATTTAATCGAACACATTAAATGAATCTACGTTATGGTTGAGACAGAGTCAACTCTTATTATGAATGAGAGTTTGTTTTGTTCAAGTAAATTGGCATTATGACATTTGTGTATTATTATCATACCTTCCCCGGCTGAAATTATTGAAAATCAAACGTATACACATAAAAGATCGGTTTAAGAGTATTCATCTTTTTCCTACTTTGATGTGATATTTAAGAGGTTTGGTAATAGATAATATCTCTTCTTTTACAACTTCAAAATATTAGGGTTTGTTCTCTTTACAATTTTCAAACCGTTATCTGTTTTCGATTTTCAAAAACAGTGAAAATGCGTTTTCTTTCCCATTTTCGAAAACGCTTTTTCTGAAAACAAATTAAAAATTTACAAAGAAAACTCAAAACGACAAATTTGTAATTTTTTGTGTTTTCAGTTATAATCAAGTCAAAATTTTCAAAACACGTTTTGGGTGTTTTCAAAACAATTTTTCAAAATGTCAAAAAGAACACATTTTCAACAATATCAAAATGGACACTCAAAACACAAAATACAAAATGAATTCAAAACACAAAACTCAAACACAAAAAGAGCAGCCCCTTAACCTTTCGAGAGTACAAAATAATAGGCATATCTAGAGCATTGTCGTGGACAAGACGATACAATGTTATAAGGCCCCTGTTTGGTAGAGATTAAAATTAGTTTTTTAGTAAATTTTGATAAAAGTTGATAAAATGTGTGGTAGAAAAATTGCGGATGTCATGAAATGTATAGTTAAAATTAATTGTTGACTATGACTTGAAATTTTAATTGTATTTCAATCCAAACCAAACAGGGGCAAGAAGTTTAGGAATTCGGAGATGAGTTATACATGTATGTGTAAATATATATTGTTCTCCTCCACCTTATGCTCTTCATATTAGTTCAAAACAAGCTGTAGAAGTTGGATTGGGTATATGGTGAGAGACAAACACAGAAGTTTATAAACTGCACTGCACACAAGGGATGGGAATTTATCAGTCTCTATTAGGACACTTTTGTAGCAAAAACTAAAAGTGAGGCCTCCATAAAATTTGTTCTATGTTTTTTTTTTTTTTTTTATTTT